CTCTGCTCCCAGAACCACGATCCAGGGGGCTTTGTGGGGTGAGAACCCAAATGAAAGAGATGCATCATCTTGTGAGCCAGCCTAATCCACCACTGGATCTGGCATCAGGCTATGTGGGAAAGACAAATTCAGCTCAGGAGAATGCAGGGACCTGTAAAGTACAAAGGCCTTTCAGGGGCTGCAACCATTAACAGCCACCTAGACTGCTCCAGGAGGAATCTGATCTAGTTAAAAATCTTTCACTGGGAGAGGTGGAATGAGAAGGCAAATATCCCAGTGGAGGGGTTGAGGAAGGTGCCAGGACAGCCACAGCACCACACAAACAGGCACTTGTCTCGCTCAGAGCCTGCACTAAGAAACCTTTTCTTCAGGGAGAAGGTCCTCACAAAAAGTCTCTATGTATTTATACTGTTCTTCGAAGTACACGTCAACGTCTATGTTTGTGTTTCTCCCTCTCATTAACTCCTTAGGAAAATATTCCCAGTGGGCTATTGTTCCTTTATTTGGAGATAATCTAGCCAGGCACCTTCTGGAGGCTAAATATAGAAAGTCTCTACCCTTCTGCACTCCTATTTGAGGATCTAAACTAAGTTCTGTACACTTGGTACCTGAGTCTCATGTTTTTTTGCTGTTCTGTTCACTGGAGAGGGAAGAGAAGGCCAAGAGATTAAACCCAAATTTCCTAAGAGGGAAAGCTGGAGCTATTTACATAATAGTTGCAATCTCATGGCACAAAAATAGCTTTGCCATGTTCCCCTGTGCTGATTTAAGGACACTAAGTGATCACCTAGAAATGAAAAATAAACACTTAATTCCCATCAAACATAATTACCCAATATTTCAGCCTGGGATAATAACTACAGCCAGATATCATCGTGTGTATGCCTGGACTCAAAATAAGCCCAAACACACCTATCAGCCACCAAAATAGCAGCAGGAAACATTCTTTTCCCAATTAAATAGTCTCTCAGATCAAAGTCATTAGCAAAATGAACACGGACTTCAGAGCACATGGAAATGGCATCAATGTCAACACTTCCCTGCTGGCTTTAGGGTCATGCCAAGCCCTGCCTGCCCCATCGCGCATATCCCGAGTGGGTGCTGCTCAAGTCACCAACACCTCTGCAGGAAAAGAAGGGCAGCTCCTCGCTTGGCTCAAGGCGTCAGTGACATCAGCCCCAGAGCAAGGAAAACCCGTCCTCAACACTGGGATCTCCACGGGGGGGAGGGGGGAAGAAAGTTTCCAGGTCACCTCTAGCACTGAAAAGTGTAACAAAAGGGATCGTTCTGGTCTCTACCAGGAGGTTTTGGATGGCTGCCAGGGAGAGAAGGAAACGAGCTCAGAATGCGCTCCTAGGAGGGGCAAGATGTGCAAAGCTCAAGTGGAAATCCTGAGATTTCAGAGGGATCTCCTGGCACCAGGCAACCAGGGCTGAGTTCAGGAAACAGCTCCTGCTTCAGTCCCCTGCAGAACACGCAGATGACACTGGACATCTGGGCTGGACTTTCCTACCCAACAACAATTTCTGCTCCTAGAGCTGCTTCAATCCAGAGATCAGAGCTCTGAGCAGTAAAATGAGGTGTAAATAACCTGATGGAAGTGCTGCTTTATTTTTCACGTGGGAGAGACCCAGAGGAGCTGATTTAACTAGTCCATGCAGTAAGCAGCACAACTGGGATTAGGGTAATGTCACCTGACATGCTACTGGTCCTTATCCCAAGGACACCTCTGCTCTTCCTCTGCTCCCTGCCAGCTACAGTGCATCAGATCCTGTTCATCATCGCTTCCCACACAACCCTGAAGATCTGCAAACCACCTCAGCAATGTCAGACAGGCCTCAAATACTGCAGGTAGGGCAGAGGAAGGTAGGACTGAGCCCTCTGAGGGGTGCTGCAAGGCCAGGCTTACCTGTCCAGTAAAAATGTGGATAAATAATCCCTCCCTGACCATAACGCAAGCACTCAGACAGGGAACGGGTCTGACTCTGCTGGGGCATCATTGCTTAATTTTGTTTTTTTTGAGCACAAGTGTAAAAAAAAATAAAATTAAATGAAGATAATGACAGAAAAATACCAGCAGGGAGCCACAACATCTTCAATAGCAACCTGAGAGAGGATGCAAACAGCAGGAAAATTAAATCTGCAGACAGTGCTAAACAGGGAGTGGGTGACAACAGCGCTGAGAGAGAACAGGAGACAGACAGGAGGAACATGCCATGGAATCATGTAATCGCAGACCGGATTGGGTTGGAAGAGACCTTCAAGACCATCCAATTCCACTCCGCTGCCATGGGCAGGGACACCTTCCACTAGACCAAGTTGCTCCATGCCCCATCCAGCCTGGCCTTGCACACTTCCAGGGATGGGGCAGCCACAGCTTCCCTGGGCAACCTGGGCCAAGGCCTCATCCACTCACAGCCAACAATTCCTTCCCCATATCCCATTTAACCCTGCCTTCTGGCAGTAGGAAGCCATTTCCCTCTGTCCTGTTCCACCAGGCCATTCTCCCTTGTCCTTGTCCAAAGTCCCTCTTCAGCTCTCTTGAAGCCCCTTTAGGCACTGGAAGGGGCTTTAAGGCCTCCCCAGAGCCTCTTCTCCAGTTCCCCCTCTTCTCTAGGCTGAACAGCCCTAGGACCAAGAACAGACCCAAGACCAGGAAGAGTCTCCCTTGCCAAGGGGAACAAACAGTAACAAGAGCCAAACCAGCCTCCATGGTCGCCAAAAAAGGCTGGACCACCATCAAAACACCATGAGCAAGCCAGGGAACTATTTCATCCTTGGGAGGTGGGTATAACCTGCAAGCATGGCTCACCCTGCACTTGTGAAATGATTTCTTCTGGAACATGCAGGAGCTTCACAGAGGAGGTGGTGAGGAGGAGAGGTATGAGTCAAAGCACAGCGCCTGGAAAAGCTCCGTGGCAGCTGAATCCCCGCGAGGTCTCTGCTCTGCATCACCTCACTTTGCCTGCTAACACACCTCTAGGAAATATCCCATGTTTCTGCATGCCAGAAGTGGGGAAAACACATCATTTTCCTTCCCTCTCCCCCAGAGCCACAAAGGATCTTTGCACACCAGGAACTGGCTGGAGACCAGCAATCACTGTGCTGACACATGGTTCCTGATGAACCTGGGCTGAATCACCCACGTGAGCAACAGGGATTTACTCCTCCCAGTGAGATCCAACTCAGATTCCTGAGCTGGCACTGCACACTTTGTCATTGTGCTGACATTTGCAATTAAATTCAGCTCAGCTTCCTTCACAGGCACTTGCTGCTCATGAGAGCCCACAAAACCAGACATTTCCTCATAAAGCAACTGCAGAAAGAGGCTCAGACCTCTGGATTCAAGCTTACCAGTGAGGGAAATGAACACTGCTTAAAGCAATCCTGGGAAAAAATGGACAAAACCACTGCAGAAAGGCAAGAAATTAGGAGTTATAAGTAGTTTGCAATGTGGGAGCAGCAAAAAGCCAGTGAAATATAGCCTGGGAAGTGCATGGCACTGAGGAGAGAGGGAAATCTCTCACGAATAGGGTGGATAACAGTGCTCCTTCTGGAACACACTGCTCTTCCTCCAGTGCCTCTGGAGCCAAGCAGTGCCAGCAAACTGGGAGAGATTTCCAGAGAACATGGCTAATATTGTGAGGGTCCTCCATGGGAAGGTTGAAAGCCGGTTACCAACAGCGCAATTCCCAGACCGGAGATGCTGTCCCAGTCATTCTACCAATGCCTGAAGAACACATCCACAAAGGAAGAGAAGGAATTGTGAGTGAGAAAATTATTGTGAGAGATCAGGATGTATTTCTTCACCACTCTTAACAGACAGCAGAAGATTGTCAAGAATCTTCATTTAAGACCAAACTGTAAATTAGTGGATGCTACAGAAGAAAATCCCTACACTGGCCCCGGTGTCCCTTCCTCTCTCTCTATCAATGCTTGTTCCCATACAAGGTGAAATAGTCCTGTAGATTTTATGGTATTCCAGTCCCAAAGCTCCCTCTGCTGCTTGTACTCCAACCTCTCTGCCTTTCTCCCGTGACTAAGAGACACAACCTCACCAGGTTGTCTCCAGGCATCCCTTCCTTCCCTTTTTAATGGTGGATCTAACAGTTACCAGTGTCCTCTCCCAGTCTCCATAACCTTCCCAAGGTAAGTGTGGCCTCACAAAGCCACCTGGCAACACTCTTAGCACATCTGGAGGCAAAGCACCGTCACCCATGGGCTTGTACGGATTAAGATTTCTCAAAAGACTCCTGATTTCAACCTCCCTTCACTACACATAATCCCTCTCCTCCTTGAACCCTTCTCCAGGATCTCTGGGAGATCTTTGCTGGTGAAGCCTGAGGTGAAGGCAGCCTCGATATCTTAAACTTATCCTGTCCCTGGACACCAAATCACCTGCCTCATTCAGAAAAAGGCCACTTAAATGTCCCTTGACTCCCTTGGGAGCCCATTGTACTCTCCAGTGTTCCCCCTTCCCTGTATCCATGGGTTCCGGATGTCCTCTCTGCAGGGTCTCTGTGAAGACCATGTGGCTCACTTCCTCCCACAGCTCCTTCTTCTCATGCCCTAACCAGAGCAAAACTCACAACTCACCAGTTAGGCCACACAGTGTGATGCCACCAGTGAGGCCATTGTGACCTCCAGCTCCAGGAAGAAGCACCGGGCAGATCCAGCAGCTACAGGCCATGATGGCTTTGCATGGACCAAGCCACTCTCCCCTGTACCAAGGCAGGTGATCCCATTGGCACCGCAGGGGAGGGATAAGGTCCTATGGCACAGCACCACCATGGCTGCAGAGTTTTCCATATTTACAAGCTGTATTGAGTTTTCAAGCCCCTTCGTGTTCTCTGCCACACAAATAAATCCCTGCAGTAACTTCTGTCTTCTCTCAACACAGTCTAAAATCTCCACTCAATGTCTTCTCCAGAGGCGAGTTCCACCACTTTAAAAGTCTGCTGGTTAATGCAAGCTTGGAAAGGGTTACTTGCTGTACTCACCTGCTCCTGAAATTGCTCTTGTGATAAACAATCCATCAGGTCCACACAGCCCAGGAGGCATCCTGAGGGATAATTGCTTGGAAATTCCACATCTGCAGTCAACAAAATATGCCTTCAGGGGATTCACATCCCTACACACACAGGTGGGATCTTCCAGCCCACTGTGCCCTTCCCCCTCCTCCATGCACCTCTGCTTTTTTAGGCACAAGAACACATACAGTAATTTTAACAACTTATGCTTTTTCCAGCTCAGGATCTTCCCCATGACAGGACCAAGGCTGGAAAATTTAATTTTATATACAGCTTTTCCTGCTTCTGACAGGAATGCAGAAAGCAAAGCAGAGAGGGATTTCTGACACTGTTCATTACATGGCTCAATGTACCAAATCATTCAAAGATCCAAGGAGAGCTCACCTTTCTGGAGCAGCATTCTGTAGGTGGCCTCCAGTTCAGCGATTTCCTGAGGGGAAGGTCTTTTAGCAGTAGCTGCAATCCACAACCTCCCTCGATGAGATGTGTACCAGGTCCTGCCCTCCACCCTAGAGAACAGAGGAGAATTTTGGACTAAAATTCCAGCAGAGATCGCCCACATAGATATATTTTTCAATCAAATACACCCAATTCCTGATGCTAAGCTTTGCCCTGATTATCCCCCCTCAAGCAATGTGGCAGGACCATGAAGAAAAGCTGATATGGGCAAAAAATGACATCACAAATAAAGCAGAGCATGTGCCCATGGCTGGAGAGGACATCAATTCCCAGGAAAGCCAGTACACATGGGCAGGACAATCTGCTCACACAATTGCCTTACGAGCTTCGAAAGTCACACAGAGCAATCAAGGGAGCACTAAGGGACCAGGCATCTGCATGGAGCAGTCAATGGAATTCTGCAGCTGTACTGGAGTGGCTCCAGCATCCCCAGAACAGCTTAAGATTTACAGCATCTTTAGCTTGGGAAGTGAAAAGGCTTTGCCCTCTAAAATAAAATAATTCAGTGAAGGGAAAAAAGGCTCAGGAAGATTCTTTGTTTTCCATTAACAGCAGGAGACCTTGGTACCTCTTGGTACCTCGATTCCCAGCCCACAGAGGGAAGGTAGTGCCAAGGGGAATGTGTCTGTTTGGGTTTTATTTATACATGGTGCCATTGTTGCCTTCTTTATAAAGACCAAACAGACCAGAATAACATATTTTACACTATCAGCTTAATTGCTTTTCAAATTCCACACAGGTGTGCCCCAACTACAGCTTAGAAATCTCAGCCTCTCTCTACATTCATGCAGTGGGAAGAAACTTGTCCCTTCCAGGTTAGATACTCGCCCAAAAATATACTCTCCAGCTCCTCAAACCATAAGTACACAGGAAGAGGAAGCACAGGTTCCAAACCTGGAACTATCACAGCTACCAGTGACTGCACAAAGCCAATGGGTCCACAGAAGCGGAACACAACTTTCCATCTCCCTGGAGCAGGAGCTGCCTGGGACACCTTCACCTTTTGATTCCTCTCACGAGCAAGGAAGCCCAAGGCTGGTGCATGCTGAGGCACCAACCATCATCTGAGATCTCCTGCAGCTCTCGATCCTGAATCCGCAGCCTGTTCCGCTCCAAGACAGACTCACTTTCAGCATCCATGGAATGAATATTTTTCCTTTGCGGGAGCAAACCAGCTTGGTCCACCCACTAGAGTGTTCAAAAGAAGCAGGGAAAAGGTTAGCACCTCTCCAGGAACAATGTGTATCAAGTGCAAATCCTTTTTGGAGTTTTCCTTCACTTAAGGATAGAAGTATTACCCTTGTGCCCTTTGGAAACAGAATCTGGCAGAGCAGGCTTCATAAAATAGAGCTGAAAGGGTGACAAAGCCTTATTATGACTCTCAGAAATTGTTGTGTATTCCTGAAAAGGAGGCAGGAGGCTAAAACTCCCATAAACCAACACACCAGGAGCAGGAAACAGAGCAGGGCATTGGCAAACCTTCTCTGGCCCAAACAGAAATGGCCAATGAGGGACACAGAAGAGGAAAGAGGGGGTGAGACACAAGGGGAAAGAGAGGGAATGGCTTCCCACTGACAGAGGACAAGGTTGGATTGGATATTACGGGATGAAATCTTTACAGTGAGAGTTGTTAGATGTTGACACAGATTTTCTAGAGAAGTTGCTCCATTCCTGGAAGTGTCCAAGGCCAGGTTGAACAGAGATTGCAGCAACCTGGTCTAGTGGAAGGTGTCCCTGCCCATGGCAGGGGGTGGAAAAAAATAACGTGTGAGGTCGCTTCCAACCCAAACCATTCTGTGATCCTGTGGGGTACTAATAGGTACGCTAGAATTGAAAATTCTTAAGCTCAACTCTCCCAAAATGAGTCATTACTCTGGAATAAATCATTTGAACCCCCACTGACCAAAGGAGCAGGTTGGAGGAGACGGGGATTCACCAGGACACCAGAATTCAGCATTGCCTTTGCCTCCGAGTTCCTGCCTGGCTCGCTCAGAGCACCACGATTAATGGCTTCAATGGTCTCATCCAGCCTGCAAACACAAACAACAGCCATGAAAATTCCCTGTTTCCCCTGGCAATGTCTCCTTTTTCCACACACAAACACTCTCAACCAAAGCAGTTTTTCCCCACCTCTCTCAATGGTTTCCTTGCTCAGTCTGATTTCCAATTTGAACAGTCACTCATCTCTACCACAGAAACTCAGCTTGGTGTGAATTTGAGCTGAATTGGTTCTGTTGAGACAGGCCTTCTGCAACACCTCTTTCCAGGGAAGCTTTAATAGGCATGTCAGACCACTATCCCTGAGGATTTCCACCTCCCTGCTCTCAGGCACGCTGCCAGCGCTCACTCACTTGCTGTGGTACTCAGCCATGCTGTTGTCCTCCTCCAGGATCTGCCGGCCTGCGAAGTCAATGGTGATTTTTTTGGCAAGCCGAGAGGCATGGCGCAGCTCCCGCAGCTCCTGCTCTCTCTTCTGGAGAGCTTCCCTCTCCTGCTTGGACAGCCACTGGTTGGAGTCTGTGGCAAAATAATCTGACTCGTCATCAATGACCTGGGTTCGCCGCACGCTGTGAGGAGCAACCAGCACGGCAGAGGATGAGCACAGTGGGACTAAGATAGAGTACTGACCACCCCAAAACTGCCACTAACCTGCTCCAAACCTGCCCTCCAACCCACTCCTGTTTGGTCTCTCCAGAGAGCTGGAATTACAGGGACACAAAGGAAGGACACCAAAATGGGATCCGTTCCAGGGGCTCACTCTTGTTCCACTAGACACCATCGTTAAGGTGTCTGTGGCTGCAGCCCTGGTTTCAGAAGGAATTTCCAACATTTCTGCAAAAGGCAGCTTGCCTGACAGGCCACTTATGCTATTTCATGACAGCCTCTCCCCTGGTATCTTACCTTGTCCTGTCAAATTCCAACAGCTTGTCTTTGTGCTTCACAGCCATCTCCAGGCCTGTTTTGAGTCTCGCTTCCTGGCGAGGCAGCAAGTCCTTGCTTATGGCATCCAGATTCCCTGAACTTTCAGCACCTGAGATGGAAAACACACCATAGCCCTGCAGTTGGTGAGTTCAAGCCCAGTTTGGGTGCGCCAGGGTTCATATATACCCCCCAAACCAAATGCCATACCAGAAGCTAAAAGAACAACCTTGCACCAAGACCAGCATCTTTCCAAGGAGGTTGAAGTCCTGATTTTCCCTCGAGCCCATTTCACAGACTCCTTCCTTGGAAGAGGAGGAAGCACTTAAATACTACAGTGACAAGGTCTGGGTACAGTTTAGAGAGAAGCTCTTCATTGATTCTCTTTCATCCCTCTCTAACAATTTGGGCAGTCAAAATTCTGTCCATCACCAGCCACAGGCCTTGAGTTATAGAATCACAGAATGGTTTGGGTGGGAAAGGACCTTAAAGACCATCTCAATCCACCTCTCTGCCATGGGGAGGGACATTTTCCACTAGACCAGGTTGCTCCAAGCCCTGTTCAACCTGGCCTTCAACACTTCCAGGGATGGGGCAGCCACAGCTTCCCCATAGAGAAGAATTTCTTTCTAATATCCAACATGAATCTCTCCTCTTTCAGTTTAAACTGTTCCTTTTTGTCCTATCACTCTCTGCTTGTCTGTTAAGTCCCTCTCCCTCCTTTTCATAAGCCCCCTTTAGGCACTGGAATGGGCACTAAGTTCTCCCCAGTGCCTCCTCTTCTCCAGAAACCAGCTTTTTTAGGAGTCCCCTCCTAAAAACCAAACCCTCCCCTACATGTTGTTACCCCCACAAAGAGACCCTTGCCCAGGACAAATCAGTGCAAATTCCAGGGATGTCCAGAGCCTTCTGCCTGATGCTGTTTGTGCCTATTGCAAACAACATCCTCCCCTGACACACAGGTTCTCCAGCCCAGCTGTTGGCAGAGATGGAGAAATCTATTCCCAGCAAATGCTCTTCCTTCTTAACCTTCCTGGCAAAGGCCCCAAACCTAACCAAGCAAACAACAGGGAACAACAAAAAAACCCACAAAAGGTTTGCCCAAAGCCCCAGTGGCACAAATCAGTGTATTCCACCAGGCAAACAAAGCCTTCATTGCAAGCAAACAATTGTCTATGTTTCCCTGTGGTCACTGATCCACATTTTTTCATTCCCAAGACAAACAGCAAACCACATTTCATTTTTTACTTACACAGATAACAAAGCAAGAGCTGGCAAGAGCAGGAGGAAAGAGAGATCAAACTGGTAAGGAAAAGGATCCTGAAGTAGACCAGGATCTCTGCAGGGAAGATGTAACATTCCAGCTCTGTGACCAGCCGGTGTTCAAAAGGACTTCCAGGCCCTCCTGCCATCTCAGCAGCTCTAAGGAGAAGAAATATTCCCCCATTTCTTCAGCAAAGTGTATTTTTCCACCAAGAACACCATGACCTTGGATGCATTTCAGCTAAACTCAGACAAACATTCCCACAATGCACAGGTCTTCGCTGGGACACTGGGTATTATTTCCTCTTGCTTGTCTTGGCTCTGTTCCTATTTTTAGCTCCCAAGATAAGTGTTAGACAAGAAGAGCCATTAGGAAATATTAACCACCACCTCTGCAGACCCAGCACATCAGATAGCAGCACTTCCACAGCACACATTCCACAGAAGACTTATCCAGTTCATCTGATTGATTATGGAATGCCTAAGGAGCAGCCTTAGGGCCTCAGGGTAAGGACATCATACACTGCCATTTGACACTCGCAGTTGTCACCACTGCTGAAGCCCAGGAATGCTGCGGAGGCTTGCAGGAAGGATCCAAGGAGCCAACGTCCAATCCATCCTCTAAATATTCCCCACAGACACCGGGCAGTAATGAGGGCAAGCGGCTCAGTGAAGTCTGAAGCAAATAACATGCACAAACTGACTGGATTCACTCTATTCCAGGTATGGAATTGCTACTGACCTGCCATGAGCTTCTTCAGCAGCTTCTGGCTCTTGTTGGAATCCCGCTGAAGAATGTCCTGCTCTTCTTTAGTGCACACCTAAGGAAAAAGAGGAAATGAAGACTTGGGAAGGCCATCAACAACCCTTAACTCAGAGGTGTTCTCTCTTCGTTGGCCACTAGCATTTAAACTGACCTTTCAAAGTAGCAACAAATCTGATTTAAAACATTTTGTCCACCCAACCAATATTTTCCTCTCACACAAAGAGGAATTTCCTCTTATCTGCCATTAGTAACTTGCCCCCTTTCTCCAAAAGGTGCCCTTTAAACAGAATATGGGTGTAACAGGTATCCTGATGGACTTATCTTGCACAAGCATTGAAGAAAAGTCAGGACACTGGCCCTGGCTGCGGCTCCTGCCCCTGACAAGGCAACCAGGGCTGTGCCCAGGATGGGGCTGAAGCTTTGCAGATATTTTGGACACTGGTGTGATGCACAGGAGACTGTCAGAAACCAGACAAGCTCCAAACTGATACAAATGATGAGGGAAACCTCCTAAGAGGTTCCTTCCTGCCCAGCTTTAAAACTTTGCTAGAGGAACTTCTATTTAAGAGGCTAATCCATCAAACTTCTCCAGGTCCAAGCAAGTCCAAATATCCCTCTGGGGACTCACCAGGGCCCCGCAGAACAGGCAGGGCCCAGAGCCCTCCTGGGCGCAGACGATGCGCCCGCACGTCAGGCAGTTGTTGATGAGCTTGTGCTTCTGGCCCAGGCACTCACAGGCATGACGGCCTGGGATGAGCACGGCCAGCCTGTCCTGCCCCTCCTTGGTGTACAGGCTGACATATTTGGGCTTCTTCTTACAGGAAATGCTACTGCTGCCGACACCACTGCTGCTCTCCTGGGCCTGGAGAAGCAAAAAAAATAAACAAATAAACTGTACTCAAAGTGCCAAACTGGCAGCAGAGAGTGAGCACTGACCCCTGGGCAGGCCAGGGGACTCACAAGTGTTATTCTGACTCACTGCAAGGAAACTTGGACCAGACCCCACACTGAACAGAAAGACAAGCTCAGGCCTGCCAGAAAAGCTCCAAGAATCCAAACAAATCAAGGAACAAGGATGTTGCTGATGCACTTTATGTTTGCTGCCTACGTGAGCTGGAGCTGCTCAGATCAAGGCTGCAGTAGCAGCTCATAGAGGCTTAACAGCTCCAAACAGCAGCTCAGCTACTTCCAGATTTATTTCCAAGGGTTATTTAGAGTATGGCAATGCCCTGGGAAACCCTGTGTGTGCCTGTCCCAACACAGAGCTATTGGTGGCAGTAGGGCCACTGCATTCACAGCCAGGGCACCTCAAAGCAGCTTTCCTGTGTCCCACCCGGCACAGTAACCACAGCAGAGGTTTTCCATGCACAGCAGGTTCAAGTATTGAGCTGCAAAATAAACTCTGCTCCTCCTTCTGAGACTTGGCCTCATTGATTCTGTGATTCACCTGAGTTTCACTCTAGTGATGCAGCATTTCCAGTCCCTTCAGTAAAGCCTGACTGGTTTTAGTGCCACTGCCAAATCAAAACAGGGCAACCATGAAAAAAAACCAAAACCAGATAAAGTGACCTTGGTAGAGCTCTCTCTGTTGTTTTTTTATTTTTAATTAAATTAGAGGATAACTGCAGGGCAATGGACCACCATTGTCCATTTTTAACTCTCCAATTCAAAAATGTAGGGTTTTATCTTACAAACACTTTGCAGCCTCCTTGCTCCAAAAACTTCCATCTAAAAACACGAATTCAAGTTCCATTCGTTACTCAGGTTCATCTCTGCCTCTCAGGGCTACTTTGTAGCTCTCAGGCTGCTACAAAGAGTAAGTTGACTACCACAGAGGAAGGCAACTACCACATCCTTGTGCTGCTTGAAAACAGCAACATTCCTTGAGATTTAGCATTTATGCACTCTTATTTTGCAGTTTCTTTCAGAAATATTTCAGCTGCCAATTCAAGTTTATTCAGCATGACTGGGAAGGTTTAAATACAGCAAGAAGGAATGTTCTATCCACTTGGTGGCTTCCTCAGTTCCCCACCATCAGACCTCTGCTTTAAAGAAATCCTTTTTATTCCCAGTTATAGCCTCAACTTCCTTCACCTGCTCTCTAATCCAGGCATTTGGGGGGAGCAAAATTCACCTTGACATGGATTTGCTACCTGTTGATTATTTTACTCCCCCTTATAAGGACAAACACACACAAGCTTTACCCCAGACTGCATATCATAGAATCATAGGATCATTCAGGCTGGAGAAGCCTTACAAGATCAAAGTCCAACCAGTAACCCAGCACTGCCATGTACCACAACTAACCCCTATCCCCAAGTGCCACATTCACGTGCCTTTTGAACACTTTCAGGGATGGGGACTCCACCTGTGCCAGTGCCTGACCAGCCTTCCCACAAAAAAATTTTCCTCAATATCCAACCTAAACCTCCCCTGCCACAGCTTGAGGTTGTTTCCTCTCATCCTGTCCCTTGGGAGCAGAGCCTGACCCCCACTTGGCTCCACTCTCCTGTCAAGGAGTTGGAGAAAGCCAGAAGGTCCCCCTGAGCCTCCTTTTCTCTAGGCTGAGCCCCCCCAGCTCCCTCAGCCACTCCTGGTGCTCCATACCCTTCCCCAGCCCCATTCCCTTTTCTGGACATGCTCCAACCCCTCAATATCTTTCTTGGAGTGTGGGGCCCAGAACTGACCCCAGGATTTGAGGTGTTGCCTCAGCAGTGCCCAGCACAGGGGGACAGGCACTGCCCTGGGCCTGTGGCCACACTATGGCTGGTACAGGCCAGGTGCCATTGCTCACCTGGGCATGCCAGCCCCACACATCCTGAATGCTCATTTCCACTTTCCAATCCCACCTTTATTGGTGTTTGATATTCCTTTTCCTGCACCTCAGGTTCCAAGCCTTCCCAGTGACATCCAACCACCCCAGTGTCCTCACTAGGCTCACCTTGGCCAGGTCCAGGGGGGTTTTCACTTCCTCCACGTGTGTGCTGGGCTCGGTGTACACGGGCGTCTCCTGTTTGTTCCTGCCTTTGCGTTTCCCCTTCTTCCCTTGCTCTCCAGCCCGTGGCACTTCCGAAGCCTCTGGAAGTGTGTGCAAGCACAGAGAGGCTGGGTGAGCACCAGCAAGGGAAAGATGTCCTCAGACTCTACTTAGTGACTAAAAATGGGCTTCAACCTGTCCTCATGACCAGGAATTAAACCATTATCCACGCAGGGGTTCATGGCATATGACTCTTTATAAATACAACTCAGACAAGCTTATTGGAGACTTTGATTCTTTCTTCCCTGTGGCACTCACCATCCTTCTTCCAATATGCTGGGAAAGGCTCAGAGGGCAGCTGGGAGGACTTCCTCCACCTGGAAAGTAACTCTTCCACAAACCAGCTCTTTTTCCCATCGGTGCCCTGGAGGAGGTCGATGACGTACTCCCGGATCTCATCCTCGTTGGTTATGGACAGGATGTACCTGCGAGGGGGCAAGGGGATAAACATGGGTAAGGGGCTGCTGTTCCAGCTCTGATCCAAGAGTTTAATGGCACAGGTGTATCATTTATCTCTCCTTTTCAGATCAGGTTTGTGGAGACTGTAGTAGGATCCTGGCAGGGGTTGGAATGCAATGAGCTTTAAGGTCCCTCCCAACCCAAACCAGTTTGTGAAGTAGCAGGCAACTGCTAAAGAGTTAACAGTGTGTCTCCAAACCTCTGTATCCTCATGGAAATAATGTTCCCAGAAAAGTCTGGAAAAGTGCAGCATCTGTCTCCAAGGACCTCAGGGGGGTTTCTGAAAACTGGTGGAGTAATTGGTAGTTCAGACAACTTCTCAGTGCTCAGACTTTGTTAGTGATGTTCTAGAAAAGCTTAGGGAAGCACTGGTGACTTCCATGTGCCAGCAATTAAACTGCTTTTCTAAGATAAACTTGTAGGCTGCCCTGCGGACTGAAAAGCTGGCAGTATAAAATGCTGTCTTACAGGCACTGCTTTCAATCAAGAATTCTCTGCCGAACCTCCATTTTCCCACCAAATACAGATATTCCTAAACTGCCTGGGCGGCCTCCCATTAGAATCAGCCTGGTACTGTCCTACAGGACAAGGAAACAAAGGCCTTTGAGTGCGTGATTCTGTGACCCCACAAACCCCTCCCTGCCACCTCCCGCCCCCCAGTGCTCTCACCCGACGGACAACCCTGGGCACACACCCTCGAGCGCCACTCTGACACACCCTGCTCCCTCTGTGTTGGACCGTGGAGGGGTGTCGAGGGGCAGGGGGGTCCCGGTCGCGCTCACCTCACCACCTCCTCGCCCACGTCCAGCCCGAAGTCGCCCCGCAGGTGTTGGACGCACCAGGCCAAGAGCGCGCTGGGCGCCGCCATCTTCCGCGGGGGGCGGGAAATGGCAGCGCACCGCCCGGCAACCACCGCTTGCCTTCCCCCCGGCAACGCACCCGCGGCGCGACCGTTCCGGGCCCGTTCACAGAATCTTAGAATTAACTGGGTTGGAAGAGACCTCCGAGATCATCAAGTCCAACCCTTGATCCAACCCCACTGTGATTACTAGATCATGGCACTCAGTGCCACATCCAGCCTCGTCTTAAAAACCTCCAGGGATGGTGAATCCACCACCTCTCTGGGCAGGTCATTCCAATGCCTGATCACTCTCTCTGTAAAGAGCTTCTTCCCAATATCCAACCTAAACGTCCCCTGGCAGATCTTAAACCTGTGCCTTCTTGTCCTACTGCTGATTGCCTGGGAGAAGAGACCGATCCCCACCTGGCTACAACCTCCTCTCAGGTAGTTGTAGAGAGTGATGAGGTCACCCCTGAGCCTCCTCTTCTCCAGACTAAACAACCCCAGCTCCCTCAGCCTCTCCTCATAGGACTTGTGCTCAGGTCCCTTCACCAGCCTGGTTGCTCTTCTCTGGACTCACTCCAGCACCTCAATATCCTTCCTGAACTGAGGGGCCCGGAACTGAACACAATAGTCAAGGTGCGGCCTCACCGGTGCTGAGTACAAGGGAAGGATCACTGCCCTGCTCCTGCTGGCCACACTGTTCTTGATGCAGGCCAGGATGCCATTGGCCTTCTTGGCCACCTGGGCACACTCTGGCTCATGTTCAGCTTCCTGTCAGTCAGCACCTCCAGGTCCCTTTCTGCCTGGCTGCTCTCCAGCCACTCTGTGCCCAGCCTGTAGTGCTGCAGGGGTTTGTTGTTCGTAGAGTCCGGGAATGGTTTGGGTGAGAAGGGACGCGAAGGATCATCCAGTCCCACCCCCTGCCATGGGCAGGGACACCTTCCCCTAGACCAGGTTGCTCCAAGCCAACGTGGCCTTGGACACTTTCAGCGATGGGGCTTCTCTGGGCAACCTATGACAGCGCTTCACCCACTCATAGGAAAGAATTCCTTCCCAGTATCCCATGTCGGATGCGGGTCGCGGGTGTCCGCGGAAAACGGGGCGGCCCCCACGCTGCCATTGGCGGCTGAGGGCGCGGCGGGGCCTGGGCGGGCCGTGCAGAGCCGGCATGGTGCGGACCAGGGCGGACCAGCGCGGCGGCGCCTTCCGCAAGGGTGCGGGACGGGGGACGGGACGGGGGACGGGACGGGACGGGACGGGACGGGGGAAGAAAGAGGCTTGGTACCGGTTGCCGCTGCTGACCGCCCGCTCTCCCCGCAGTGTTGGGCGCCCGCGCTCCCCGGAAGGCGCTGGGCCCCGCCAGCCTCAACGCGGGACCGCCGCCGCCGGTCAGGAAAGGTGAGCCCCTTTTCCTTTCCTTTCCGTCCCCTTCCCTTTTCTTCCTCCCCTCCTTCCCTTCCTCCCTCCTTTCCTCTCTTCCTTCCTCCCTCCTTCCCTCCCTCCCTCCATCCCTTCCTTCTCGCTTCTTTTCCTGTCTCCTTTTCTCCCTCCCTGCCTCTCTCCCTCCTTCTCTCGCTTCTTTTGCTGTCTCCTTTCCTCCCTCCTTCCCTCTCCCCTTTCTTCCCTCCCTCCCTTCCTCCCTCCCCTCCTCCCTTTATCCCTGCCTTCCTTCCTCCCTTCCTCCCCTCTTCTTTTCCCGCCTTCTTTCCTCCCTTCTTCCCTCTCTCTCTCCCTCCCACTTTTCTTCCTGTCTTTTTCCCTCTCTCCTTTCCTTGCTTCCCTCCCTCCTTCTCTCCCTCCCTCCCTCCTTGCTTCCTTCTTTTCCGGCTTCCCTCCCTCCCATCGCGGTGTCTGACCCTCTCCCCGCAGGTGACCGGCGCCCCGTGGGGCTGAACCCGGTGTGTGTGCGACCGGTCCCCGCCTGGCAGAGAAGCATCGGCGAGTTCCTGCAGCTCCCGCCCAAGGAGAACCGGGCGCCCGACGGAGCCGTGGCCGGGAGCAGCGGCCTAGGGTGGGTGTCGGGGGAGGCACAAATCCCTACAACTAGAGGGGAGGAGGAGGTGCAGAAGTGTCGCCCAGTGGGGTAACGGGATTGAACAAAGCTCAACGTGGACTGGCAGTTTTTAGTATGCCTGGGGAATTCTGGGGGTTGGTTCTGCCAAGCTTAAGCTTAACGTTCACTTCCTTTTTTAAAAAAAAAACAACAATTGAGGCTCCCTGGAGTGTGGCAGAGAGCAAAAACCACTTGCAGAACTGTCATGGGCCAGCTGGGGCTCTGTGGTGCTGCTCTAATGTGGATTATCAGAGAGTGGTCCGGGGTGTGATATCAAACAGCAAAACCCTGGCACTTCCCTAAAATTCCGAGAGTGACATTCCTGGGGACCCGAGAGGGGGGAGTGTTGGTGTCCTTGGATGAAACAAGTTGTGGTTAGTGTTCCTCCCTGACTGCTGTGAAACTACAATTTGTGAAGGAGCAGGCGACTGCTGAAAAGTTTACAAACTTTCAAAACTCCAAACCTCTGTATCCTAGTTTCCAGCAAAGTCCGGCTAAGTGCGACATCTGTCTCCAGGGACCTCGGGGAGGATTATGAGTGGGGTAACTGGTAGCTTAGGCAAGTTCTCAGTGCTCAGACTTAACTTCGTGTACCTACAGAGCACAGCGATGTTTCACAAAGCTTAGAAGAGCACTAAGCCACTTGCATGTGCCAGAGAATTGCTTTTCCAAGCTGAAACCTTAAAAATTAGCTTGTATCCTGCCCTACTGACTGAAAACATGGCAGTATAAAATACTGTCTTACAGACACTCTGTTTCCAACTCTCTGTTGAACCTCCATTTTTCTACCAAATGGAAATTCCTAAATTGCCTGGGGGGGGGCCCATAAGAATCAGCCTGGAATTATCCTGCAGGACAGGAAAACAAAAGCTTTTAAATGCATCCTACCTCTTGGTGAAACAGAAAATGTGGTAAGAAGAGAACACAGAATGTCCCCATACAAAACAATGTGCAGCTTCCCAGTGTGTTCTGGAAGAAGCAAGAGCTGTACTTGCTCAACTGCACAACTTCTTTGGTCAGTAAGTTAGGTTGAAACTCAGGTGTGAAATGGGAGTTATGCAGCTTCCAAACAAAGGTGTGGAACCTGTGTGTGGCCCTCCAGGCCAGGGACACACAGAGACCCTCTGGGATGTTTTGGTGTGGGATGTTTTCTTTCTCATTTGAAAGGAAACTCTGTGCTGATCCATCTGGGCTCGTAACCCTCGGGATAAAGCAGCTTCTGTCAGTCCTGATGCCTGAAGGTGCTGTCTGGGGCTAATTAATGTCATTTAGGTCACTCAGGTTCTGGGAAAAGGGATTTGTTGGCCTTTCAAACCTTTGATTGGGTTCTTTGAAATGCTTCTTACAGAGCTCGACCCCTCCCACCAGATCCTGCCGAAGATGGAGAGTCCTCTGAGGAGGAGTAGACATGATCTGACCTCAGTTTTCATGATAAACTGCTCCTCCTATTTGAGCTGTTTTTGGACACTTTTATAGTTTTTTATAATTTGTTATGGCTTACCTTCAGCTGTTGTACAGGACTAAAAGTCTGAGAGACAGCAGGAACACTGTGGAAAAATTAATTTATACATTTTGGCACTTAGCATTCAGTGTAAATCATTGGTTTATTTTTTATCTGGGTTTCCTTGAGTTCCTCGGTGCTTCCTGCATGTCAGGCAGCTTTTATCTTTCATCTTCTGATTGCCTTGTGCTTGTCCAGGACCTTGGTTCTGTTTTTAGAAAGCAGATCGTCTTTTTTTTTTAATACACTGAAGTCTTCTGAGCACACACCCCTGCCAAGTCTTCATTGAAAAAGCTGTTAATGAAGATTTTTTTGTCCAAAGATGGGAAACAGGATTTGGAAAGACCTCAGGGAGGTGGATGGGCAGATGGCACTTGCTATGACTAGAGGTGGAGTTTAATTAAAACAAACTGGATTGTTCTAAAGAATCAAAACCCCAAAAACTTGGAGAGCAATAAAAGGCTAAAACTAAATTAAACTTGTTACTGTGAAGTGCCTGAGGCTCCCACACAACTTTTGGGATAATTTATAGGAAAAAATTGAGTGGGTTCTTGTTATGGGTCTTAATCTTGAGAGTTCTGCTCCTGCTCTTCCTCAGAAGCTCCACAAATGATCAGAGTAGCACTGAGTGGATGAAAAGGGGAATTTGAGAGATTTAAATTTAGCACATGAGGGGAACTTAGTGGCAGCTCTAGCAGGTCAGCCTGGTGTGGTTATGGTGCGGAAAGTGGTGACTGCTGTCAAAGCCTCTTCCTAAAAAGTCCACGGATAAAAAGGAGGGATGTCACAGAAAAGCAGTTTGAGTTGGTTAAATGAGAAATAGCAAGTTGTGATTTCTCTTTAATAGAAATTTTTGGAAATTTTGTCAGTTAAGAGGAATAAGCTCATGGTAACATGCTGTACAAACCACAGACTTTTCTACCCTGACATGACACAAAACATCATCCCGGTGGCAGCTCCCGCAGCTGCAGCAGCACTGTGGGCGGCTCTTCCTTTGGCCATTTCACCTTCCAAATTAGCTGTATCCTCAGTCTCTATTTCTCCTCTGAAACTGCCTGGGAAACAGACAAAACTATTGGGCTCTGATCAGATCTGCTCATCCTGACTCCACTCTTGTTCCAGAGGGCAGAGTTAGATGGAAGGTTGGGAAGGAATTCTTGGCTAGGAGGGTGGTGAGGCCCTGGCACAGGTTGCCCAGAGAAGCTGGGGCTGCCCCATCCCCAGAAGTGTTCAAGGCCAGGCTGGACAGGGCTTGGAGCAACCTGGTCTAGTGGAAGGTGTCCCTGCCCATGACGGGGTGGAACAGGATGAGCTTTAATGTCCCTTTCAATCCAAACCAGTCTGTGATTCTAATACTTTTAAGCATCAATACCCCAGGCTGACCATAGGTGTCAGCAGCCTCTGCAGCTCCGAACAGAGGCTGTGCCAGGGACCAGGGCAAGGCTCTGCCAGGGACCAGTTTGTTTACTTAGGCAATGTGCAGGGAATGTATAAATGTATGGATGACAGACTGGAATTGCTCATTTCCTGAGAGTCTGTGCTATCTCACCAGGTAAGGAAGTGGCATCAGCAAAATCACGCACTGTGTCACCGGTTGAGTCCCTGTGTCCTGCTCAAACCCAGAGCAGTGCTGGAGGGACAGGAGGGGGCAGTGAGGGGAACCTGCTCCCCTAGTAGATTTTATTCCCATCCCAACACATGGAGTTTTCTGTCAATATTCCAAATTACTTATTTGACCCCTGACCTTGAGAATGTTGCAGCCTTGAGAGCACTAATGAGCAATAAACTGTCTTCAGCTGAGCCCCCTGCCCATGCTTGAAGGTCTTTTTGACCCAGGCTGAGCACATCCAGTCTTTTCCTGGGGGATGTTGTATGCACCTACATCACAAAGGAGAGCTCAGAGGTTCACCGCTGGCACAACTGGATATGTGTTTCCACAGGAGCTCACGGGTGCTCCAAAAGCAGCTGCAAAGTGAGCACACAAAGTGTTAGAAGATGAGATGGAAATGTTTAGGAAATAAGAATTCCCAGGGGTCTAATATGTTGAAATTTAAAGCTTAGGGGGCAAAATCATCTTTGTCTGCGCAAGAGAGAGCGATGGGACAGACGCCATCCTTTCCCATCCCCATAGCCTAAGGCTTTCCCAAGTAGGGATAGTCACAAATTGCTGTTGCTCCAGAGTGGTTTTAGCTTTTCCTGGCAGCCCCCTTCTCTCCTCGTGTCCGAACCAGGCCAGATGGCATGCTTCTGTTGGATGTAGCTGGAAGGAGGGATCTGCTCCTGCTGGAGCGGTGCAGGGGGCAGCTGGGTGGCGGGGACAGCAGATGTCCAAGCTGTGGGGAAGCAGCCGGAGGGGAGGGGGCTGGGCCAGCAGCTGCTGACCTCTCATCCCACCAGGGGAAATCCAGCACCAAACCTCAGGGCCTCATCCCCCATGCGAGGGGTTTGCATTGCTTTTTCTGACTTCCAAGGCTTTTCCTAAAAGAAAATGTCCAATTTATATTTCTGATTTTTTGCTTCCTCCTTCTCAGAATAAAGCCTTCCTGCTGTGGACTCTGAGTCTGCATTCAGGTGCTGCCTGCTTATATTATGGGAGTCACACTGGACTCCCTCTCACACCAGAGTACTATTAATTGTGGTAATTCCAAGCCTGGTCATGTGTAGTCCTGTGCTGGATTGAGCAATTACAGGGCTGTTTCCATCGGGAGAGGGGATGAGACCCTGGTACCTTCTTGCTCTATGTGATTGATCCTCTGCTCTCCCTCCTCTGCCAAAAAATGTCCTTTTAATCTTTGTTTTTCCTTGGGCTTTGATTTTTCCCTCTTTGCATGTTATCCAGAGGGATTCAAGGTCTGTGTCTGCAGGGTCCCCCTGCCCACGCTGTTGTGTTGGGGTGGTGCCTCCCTGTGCCTGATCCTCAACAGGAGCTTCATTGTCCTTCCTGCTGCCCTAGACAAAGGGGGATTGTCCTGCTCAGCAGCTCCAGCCAGCCACGAGCTGCTTCAACCCGACCGGAGACGCTGCAGCAGTTGCAAGAAGAAAAGCAGGATGTTTCATTTCTGTTCCTAATAAGGCACTTGGAAATTGTTCTGGATTCTCACCTGTCTTTGGTCAGGGATGAGGAGCTGAGTAAAACCTCTGTTGGGGTGGCCTAACCCATCCAAAACGTTTTGGGGTCAGCTTTGAGCTCCCTTCATGTATCATTCCACACGCAGGCTAGTCTTTGGATAAACTCCCAAGGGATTAGCACAGGGCTAATGAGAATCCGCATGTTTAATAGGACTTAGCAAAAGAATTACCTAGACTAAAATTGATGGTAAATAATTTTTCAGAATTAAGATGCTCCTTTGGAGGGCCCAGATGGTTCAGAGCAGAAAAAATTGGAGCTGAATCACAAAAGTGCCTCTCTCTTTGATCAAAGGTGGGGGGATGTTGTGATATCCACATTATTATTAATTTCCATGAATAATATCACAAAAAATAAGCAAAATAAGCTCATCCTGGAACAGAGGTTCAGGGTGCTGTTCGATATGATGCTGCCAGGACAGGCTGGATTGAGACATTCTAATTTTGATATTAATATTGAAAACTTAAAGGGTTTAAAAATAAATATTAATCCTTTATTAAACCTATACCCGAGTTGGCCAATTGCACATAAGTATTTTTTTAAAAAGAGTCAGCAAAAAAGCTAAAGTGAAATAGTACCAATTTTATTGGAACTGGGCTTTGTTTTCAGGTTAATTATGGTGCCAGGAGAAAATTTCCAAGCTTGGCCATAGGAATATGAGGTACTCGTTCCACCCCTGTGCCGTGGGCAGGGACACCTTCCAGTAGACCAGGTTGCTCCAAGCCCCATCTAACGTGGCCTCAGACACTTCCAGGGATGGGGCAGCCCCAGCTTCTCTGGGCAACCTGTGCCAGAGCCTCACCACTCTCACAGCAAATATTCATTATATTTCCTACTAGAAGCTTGGAAACCTGGAGATTTTTGAGGTGCGAGGTGTTTCAGGAAGAATGTTTTTCCTCCCAAGAAGGAGCGGGTGGACGAGGCTGCAGTGTGACGGGTGAGGAGCTAAGGTGTGTGCTGAGCTCAGGCAGGTACCGAGCTGAGCTCAGGAGGATGCTGAGCCCCAGGCGAGTGCTAAGCTGAGCCCACGCAGATGCTGAGCCCCAATGGGTGCTGAGCCTCGGGCGGTTCTGAGCCCCGCAGGATGCTGAGCCCGTTTGTGCCGAGCCCCGGCGAGTGCTGAGCTGAGCCCCGGTGGATGTTGAGCCCCGGTGGCGCTGAGCCGACCCGCCGCGCCCGCCGCCTCCCCCTGGCAACGCCACGCGGTCTCCAGGCGGCCGCGGTGCCCCGGAAGCCGCGCGGGCTCAGGGCGGAGCCGCGCGGGCGGCGCCGGCGCCGAGCGCTGCCGGGTCGGGCCGTGCCCGTCGAGCGCGGCCGAGGGAGGAGCCGCGGCGGGCGCGGGGAGAGCGGCGGCGGCCCCGGCCCAGCGCAGCCCGGCCCGGCCCGCCCCGCCCGGGGAGCGCAGCGCCGGAGCAGGTACGGGCGAGGGGTCGCGGCGCCGCGGAGTCCCGGCGGTCGGTTCGCCGTGGCCCGGCAGGCCGGTCGCGGCGGAAGCTTCGCCGGGCTCGCCGGTCCAGCCCTCCCGGTGCGGCGGGAGCGGCTCCGCCGGGCGGAGGAGCCGCCGTGGAGCAGCCCGAGGGACCCCCGGCAGGGTGGAGGCCCTCGGGGGTCGCAGCTCCTCCTGGGGCGTGGGCGAGCGGGGCGGGTTCGGGGTATGTGCGCTGGCGCCGGCCAGGGGATGGAAAGGGGGGATTTTGGAGTGGGGGGAGTCTGGCAGCCCTCCCTTGGGGGCTGGGGGGCTGTGCCAGTAGTGCGGGACAGGGATCTGCTGCGGGAGGAGCTGGAGGTGCCTTGGGAGCTCCTGAACCTGGTGGTATGCCCAGTGTGAGGAAGTGAAGTGCTCTGTGTAAGTGGAAGTTTATCGGCAACTTATTTGTGTGAAGAAGTTGTATATGTCCCCTACACCTGGGCATCTTTTATTTCCAGGTGCTGCTTGACACAGTGTGGAGCTCTGAGGGCTGGGCTTAGCTGTCTTGTCCAAGTCATGGAATCACAGGATGGTTTGGTTTGAAAGGGACCTTAAAGCCCATCTCATTCCACCCCTGTCCCATGGGCAGGGACACCTAGTAGACCGGGTTGCTCCAAGCCCCATCCAACCTCGCCTTCAACACTTTAACGGGTGGGGCAACCAGCACAACCTGGCTCATGAGGTTGACTCTTACCTTCCCAGCGTTTCTCTGCTGCTGGCCATCCTCTTCGGCCTTTCTCAACACTGACTATTCAGCTCGTAGGAAGCATCGTGAGCAGACTCCAAGCTTGCGATCTGTCAAGCTGCCTTCTGTGTCCCAACTTCATGTGGAGTTTTTCTCCTTTCCCTGTTTCTCATTACCGAGCTCACAGTGACCTGCTTG